CTGGCTCCGGTGCTCATCTTTGGACACAGACCCCCCTACCCTGCCCCCCCACGAAGGAGGTGCCCGGGCGGGCCGGCCCCGAGGCCGGCCGGGACTCCCCGCGGCCAAGCCCGCCTTCCTCCCTGGCCTGGAGGCAGGCACAGGTCCGGCTGGGCTGGGCGCCGGTCGTGACCATCTGGAGTTTCTGCGTTCCCACCCCAAGATGCTACGGAGGTCCGAGGCTGCACAGGAGAGGCCTGGGGTCCGTCCTGGGCCGGCTGCTGCTCTGCCCCCGCAGGCTCCACCGACCTCCCCCAAATCCGGGCTCCCTGGGGTTCTCCCCGCCCCTCTCCCACCTGGGGCCTTCCTGGCCGAAGGCCCCGACTCCCACAGTGTGCGTCCAGCTGGAAAAACCGGGTACCAGAACCCAGGCTTTCCTACCCAGTGCCACAGACTCTGGTCCAAGGGCCGCGTGTTTCCCGGACCCGGCGTGGGCGAGCCTCGCGTGTCTGTGGCCGCAGGTGGCCTGCCCTGAGCATGGCGCGGGGATGGGAGATCTTCACACAGGTCTCCCTGGTGAACCGAAGGCCTCCCGGGTCCTCCCCCGGTGCCCCTGCCCCGCTGAGGGAGGCTGCTGCCTAGCCCAGCGGGAGCCTCATGGGAGTGGGGGTGGGGTCCTCCACTTCTGAGGTGTGGCCTCCGAGCAAGCAAGGGAAATTCAAGGCGTAGCTGCATTGCTGACCGCCAGCGGGGGCTGGGCCCTGGGCCTTCAGTTCTGCGCGTGTTCGCCATGTCCCTTAGCTGGCCAGGTGTCCTGCAGGAATGGAGCAGGAACCCCTCCTGCTGGCTCTGCATCTGGATGCCAGCAGCTGCCCCTGGGCAGGGCCTGGGAGGCCACCTGGCCCCTGAGGAGCTGCATCTCTTATGGCAGGACAGGCTTCTTCGGCTTCAGGAGACCAAACAGCCATGTCCGGGATGTCCGCTGCCTCCAGCCTAAGGGTCTTCCTTCCGGTGCTGCTGGCTGTCATCATGGGAGTGGAGCAAGGTGTGACACACAGCCCTGCCCTCGCCCCACCCCGCCCCGTCCTTCTGGGACAGCTCCCAGGGCACCTGTGGGCTCCTACCCCTGCCTCCTGTCCACACAGTGGCCATGGTGTGACTGGAGTCCTCCCCAGCGCTTCCTGGCCAGCATCTGGCGTCACTCCTCACTAGTTTTTGTCTCCAGACCAGGGCTGGCATACTATAGTTGATCACTAAATGCCTGCAGAGCCAGGGCTGAAGGAGGGAGGCACTGGAAGCTTTCTCCAGGCGTGGACCCGTGTTACCTGCCGTGTGTCCCTTTTCTCTGCAGGCCACTCCCTGGTCTGCTTTTCCTGCACCAATCAGCAGAGCAATTTCTACTGCCTGAAGCCGACCATCTGCTCCGATTCAGACAACTACTGCGTGACCCTGTCCGCCTCCGCTGGTATCGGTGAGTGCTCGGACGGCAGCCAGGCCCAGCCGGACCAGCCCCACCTGCCGCCGCCTCCGCCCATCTGCCCTCTTTCCCCTCACAGCCTCATTTTCTGTGCAGGGAACGTTGTGGACTTTGGCTACACCCTGAACAAGGGCTGCTCGCCCATCTGCCCCGGCCCTAGCATCAACGTCGGCGTGGCCTCCGTGGGCACCCACTGCTGCCAGAGTTTCCTGTGCAATATCAGCGCGGCCGGTGGTGGGCCCCGGGTCAGCGGCCCACTGCTGGGCCTTGGGCTTCTCCTCAGCCTGCTGTCGGTCCTGCTGCTGCAGCTGAGCCCCTAAGCCCACAGACCCCTTGCCCATATGCCCTGAGCTCAGGAAGAATACCCGGCCCCTTCCCGATCCCAGGAGGCGAGTCTCCAGCTCCTCCTCGTGCCTGATAACCTCCCCTGAGACCTGTCTCCAAGGCCAGACCAGCACCTGCCCAGCCCGGGGCGGAGGGGGGCAGCTGCCCTCCCTCTTAAGTCAATCATGAGACCTTCCTTGGGGGATCAGGGGTCCCCCTGAAGTCTGAGGTTCCCAGGGTCAGTCTAGGAACCCTCAGATGCACGGGAAGGGCCCCCTATGCCCCATTCCTGTTGGTCCCAGGAGGCTGTGCCGAGTGTGCAGCTGTGAGCGTGTGGCATGGTGAGCACACGGCAGCGTGGAGGGAGTGCGGGGCAGTGTCGGGGAAGGGCGCGGGAAGGTCCAGGGGCCCCAGGCCTTGCCAAAGCCCCTCGCCCAGCATTGCGTACCCACCCGGCACGCCTGTGCTCCAGCTCAGCCCGCTGCCCCTCTGCCCACCCTGCGCCACCGTCCGCAGCTTTGGTGCCAAAGTGTGGAATAAAATTTAGAAACATTCTCACTCTGCACGGCCTTGGTCCCTGCACCGCTCGCCACGGCCCTACCAGGAGGTCCTACCCGGAGACGCCCAGGCCAGGCGAGGCTGGACTTTGCGAGGCCCCTCCGCCTGCCTGCTGGCCCTGGCCTGGCCTGCCGTGTGCCATGTGTGGCGAGGGTGGGGGCAGCAGGGAGGAGCGTCAGGCGAAGCGTCTTCTGGCTCAGTTCCCCACGGGTTCCCTAGTTCACACTTCCCAAGACTAAAAGACACCGGAGGCCTGGGGTGGGGTCCCTGTCCTCAGAACAGCTCCCTGGGAGCTGTCGGGTTTCTTGGGGCCCTGGGAACCTTGCCCAGCAGCGTGGTCGCCATGATAGCTCAGGGTGAAGCTTGCAGACGCATTGTCTTCCTTACTACCCCTGAGAGGGGGGCTAGGCATGGACCCCCCACTTGGTGTGCCCTAAAGGCAGAGGAAGGAGCCAGACGTAGGTGGAAGAAAGGATCACTCAGAAAAACAGGGTATACTCTACAAGCCCCAGAGAAGGTTCCAGAAACAGCAGAGCAGCCCTGGAGGCTCCCAGCAGCTGAAGCATGCTTTACTCCTGGAATACTAGAAAGCAAGAGAAGGAAGGCAGAATGGGGCTCCTGCAGGGAGCGCTGCCCGGGGCTTGGGGCTTGTAGCCTGACCTGCAGAAGGCTCAGGTGACTACCAGAGGGCCCCCACCCATGGGCCCTGCAGGCCCTGGGAGCTGCTGCACTGAGGCCCGCTCTGCTGGGACTTTGGTGACTGAGGCATGGCCACAGGGCAGGGTCTGGGACCCCTTAAGGCCCAGCCTTTGCTCTGCTGTGCACCGCCCCTGTGATTGGGACAGTCCCAGCAAAGGAAGCTGGTCAGGCCTCCAGGTTAGCACGGGCTAACCTGGGGAGACTGGCAAAAAGGAAAGGAAAATGCACTTGGTTGTAACAAATGATGGGAAGAGATCCCAAGAAGGTGGGCACTGCCCCTTGGTTTTGTTTTCTGCTCTGGGGCTGCGCAGCTGATCTTCGAGCACCCCAGGTTAAGTTAGTACAGGAAGGAAGCGTGGGCAGAGCCACTTTAAGTCACCCTATTTTTGTTACGTTTTTAAAAAGAGGTAGCTGAGTAGGAACAGCACCACGCACGTGGTATTCAGGTGAGGGGTAAGTTTATTCATTCTGGCTGGCATCAGGCCACGTTGGCCCTCCACTCGGCTGGGAAAGAGCTCGAAGAGCTCGTCTGGGCCTGAGCAAGGCCTTATCTAGGGTGTGGGCGGAGATGTGACCTCAGCGGATGCTGATGTGACTTCTTCCAGGTGTGCCAGTTGCCTAGGTAATGCAGGTACTGGGTGGAGACTTTGCTGTGCGGTGGGTGGAGTCTGCTTGCCATCCAGGAGTGGACCTTACAATTTTTTTTTTATTTTTTATTGTGAAAATACTATACAGAGGGGTTACAATTACATGGGCAAGGTAATGAGTACATTTCTTATCAAGCATTGCAGCCTCCTCCTTTGTTTACCCATCACATCCCTTCCCAGCCTCCCCCTGCCCCTCACCTTACAATTTTTATACCTCTGAAAGGGAGGAAGGGTGTGCTGGTGTGCAACTTTTTTTTGGGGGGGGGTCCAGTCATGGGGCCTGAACTCTGGGCCTGGGCGCTGTCCCTCAGCTCTTCAGCTCAAGGCTAGTGCTCTACCACTTGAGCCACAGCACCACTTCCG